ATGGCAGAAAACTAACTGTTAGTGCTTTGCCTGAAATGTCCTGAAATGAATTAGTTTTGAGGATGTGGATGCATGTTTTGGGTTGACGTAACTAGTAAAGTTGTGAGTGTCGGAGAAACTTTTACGCTCATGTACATCCATCCATTTTCTTCCGCTTTGTATGTTGTTGTATTGTGAGGCAGCAGTCCAAACAATCTATACCAGGGGTGAGCAATAATTTTTTTGGGGCCCGATGGGGATATGCCATATTGTGAGAAAATTAAGAACATTTTGGGTTGAGAGCAGATTAAATGCCACAGTCGCACATTATTAAAAGCCTTCATTAAGTATCGACTCCTGATTCATTTAAAAAAGCAACAGACTGGTTCCAAGCAGATCGAGCGTAAATCCGCTGGAGGAATGCTATTTTTTTAGTCTTTTGAAAAATGCTGATACCAAATTCAGAACTTCACTCTGAACTAAAGCAGAGAAAATGGTCCGATCCAAGCAGACTCTGCAAATATCGACCTGAGGAAGCAGCTCATTACCAGCGGCTGCACTGACCTGTTGTATTTCTTTAGTACCTTTCAGAATCAGTCTCAGTCTCAGTCTCAGCCTCAACCTCAGTCTCAGTCTCAGTCTCAGTCTCAGCCTCAGCCTCAGTCTCAGTCTCAGTCTCAGTCTCAGTCTCAGTCTCAGCCTCAGTCTCAGTCTCAGTCTCAGTCTCAGTCTCAGCCTCAGTCTTGGCTCAACTCAACCTCAGTCTCAGCCTCAGCCTCAGTCTCAGTCTCAGTCTCAGTCTCAGTCTCAGCCTCAGCCTCAGTCTCAGCCTCAGTCTCGGCTCAGCCTCAGCCTCAGTCTCAGCCTCAGCCTCAGTCTCAGTCTCAGTCTCAGCCTCAGCCTCAGCCTCAGCCTCAGTCTCAGTCTCAGCCTCAGCCTCAGTCTCGGCTCAACCTCAGTCTCAGCCTCAGCCTTAGTCTCAGTCTCAGTCTCAGCCTCAGCCTTAGTCTCAGTCTCAGTCTCAGTCTCAGTCTCAGTCTCAGTCTCAGTCTCGGCTCAGCCTCAGCCTCAGTCTCAGTCTCAGTCTCAGTCTCAGCCTCAGTCTCGGCTCAGCCTCAGTCTCAGTCTCAGTCTCAGTCTCGGCTCAGCCTCAGTCTCAGTCTCGGCTCAACCTCAACCTAAGTCTCAGCCTCAGTCTCGGCTCAGCCTCAGCCTCAGTCTCAGCCTCAGCCTCAGTCTCAGTCTCACTCTCAGTCTCAGCCTCAGCCTCAGTCTCAGTCTCAGCCTCAGCCTCAGTCTCAGTCTCAGTCTCAGCCTCGGCTCAACCTCAGCCTCAGCCTCAGTCTCAGTCTCAGCCTCAGCCTCAGTCTCAGTCTCAGCCTCGGCTCAACCTCAGTCTCAGTCTCAGCCTCAGTCTCGGCTCAACCTCAGCCTCAGCCTCAGCCTCAGCCTCAGTCAGTCTCAGTCTCGGCTCAGCCTCAGCCTCAGTCTCAGTCTCAGTCTCAGTCTCAGTCTCAGTCTCAGCCTCAGCCTCAGCCTCAGTCTCAGTCTCAGTCTCAGCCTCGGCTCACCCTCAGTCTCAGTCTCAGCCTCAGTCTCAGTCTCGGCTCAACCTCAGCCTCAGTCTCAGTCTCGGCTCAACCTCAGTCTCAGCCTCAGTCTCAGTCTCAGCCTCAGCCTCAGTCTCAGCCTCAGTCTCAGTCTCAGTCTCAGTCTCAGCCTCAGCCTCAGCCTCAGCCTCAGCCTCAGTCTCAGTCTCAGTCTCAGCCTCAGTCTCAGCCTCAGTCTCAACCTCAGTCTCAGTCTCAGTCTCAGTCTCAGCCTCGGTCTCAGCCTCAGTCTCAGTCTCAGTCTCAGCCTCATTCTCAGTCTCAGTCTCAGTCTCAGTCTCAGCCTCAGCCTCAGTCTCAGTCTCAGTCTCAGTCTCAGTCTCAGCCTCAGCCTCAGTCTCAGTCTCAGTCTCAGTCTCAGTCTCAGCCTCAGTCTTGGCTCAACTCAACCTCAGTCTCAGCCTCAGTCTCAGTCTCAGTCTCAGTCTCAGTCTCAGCCTCAGCCTCAGTCTCAGCCTCAGTCTCGGCTCAGCCTCAGCCTCAGTCTCAGCCTCAGCCTCAGTCTCAGTCTCAGTCTCAGCCTCAGCCTCAGCCTCAGCCTCAGTCTCAGTCTCAGCCTCAGCCTCAGTCTCGGCTCAACCTCAGTCTCAGCCTCAGCCTTAGTCTCAGTCTCAGTCTCAGCCTCAGCCTTAGTCTCAGTCTCAGTCTCAGTCTCAGTCTCAGTCTCAGTCTCAGTCTCAGTCTCGGCTCAGCCTCAGCCTCAGTCTCAGTCTCAGTCTCAGTCTCAGCCTCAGTCTCGGCTCAGCCTCAGTCTCAGTCTCAGTCTCAGTCTCGGCTCAGCCTCAGTCTCAGTCTCGGCTCAACCTCAACCTAAGTCTCAGCCTCAGTCTCGGCTCAGCCTCAGCCTCAGTCTCAGCCTCAGCCTCAGTCTCAGTCTCACTCTCAGTCTCAGCCTCAGCCTCAGTCTCAGTCTCAGCCTCAGCCTCAGTCTCAGTCTCAGTCTCAGCCTCGGCTCAACCTCAGCCTCAGCCTCAGTCTCAGTCTCAGCCTCAGCCTCAGTCTCAGTCTCAGCCTCGGCTCAACCTCAGTCTCAGTCTCAGCCTCAGTCTCGGCTCAACCTCAGCCTCAGCCTCAGCCTCAGCCTCAGTCTCAGTCTCGGCTCAGCCTCAGCCTCAGTCTCAGTCTCAGTCTCAGTCTCAGTCTCAGCCTCAGCCTCAGCCTCAGTCTCAGTCTCAGTCTCAGCCTCGGCTCACCCTCAGTCTCAGTCTCAGCCTCAGTCTCAGTCTCGGCTCAACCTCAGCCTCAGTCTCAGTCTCGGCTCAACCTCAGTCTCAGCCTCAGTCTCAGTCTCAGCCTCAGCCTCAGTCTCAGCCTCAGTCTCAGTCTCAGTCTCAGTCTCAGCCTCAGCCTCAGCCTCAGTCTCAGCCTCAGTCTCAGTCTCAGTCTCAGCCTCAGTCTCAGCCTCAGTCTCAACCTCAGTCTCAGTCTCAGTCTCAGTCTCAGCCTCAGTCTCAGCCTCAGTCTCAGTCTCAGTCTCAGCCTCAGTCTCAGCCTCAGTCTCAGTCTCAGTCTCAGCCTCAGTCTCAGCCTCAGCCCCAGCCCCAGCCTCAGCCTCAGTCTCAGTCTCAGTCTCAGTCTCAGTCTCATCCTCGGCCTCAATCTCAATATTTATTTGTATGGATGGATGAATGGATGTATTGCCGCTGCTGGACATCTGTCAATAAAGTTTCTATCTATAATTATGATCAAATCACAATATATTGATATCTGCACTGGCCCAAAGGAGGGAGGTTTTTTTTCTCTAGGACATGATGTTACCATAAAACGGTCTCAAAGGAATGAATAGATCAGTGTAATGTCATATCGTCAAACATTTCAAGCAAAGCAAAACTACACAACACACCTTTAACCCAGGATTATAAAGTTTTGTGAATTTCTGCAGATCTCACTTTTTGAAATGCTTTGTTAAAGTCACGGGGATGAAAATACAGAGAGTAAGACACATTGGCAGAAATAAGACATTGTACATTTCACATAATGCAGCTGGTGATGAACAAGGCAGAACAGACATCATTTATATATATACACAAACGTGAACGAGGTGACGGTGCACGACATTTACACTATGTACACACACAAAATAAACAACGCACAAACCCTTTACTCACACGTTTAACAGAGTGTGTGCGTGTGTGCTCCTTCATGGTTCCAGTCATAAAGAAAAGCAAAATACAGTCAAACGATTCCTCATCAAAAACAGATGGAAAACAGACCAGTGCCTACCAGTCACTTTTTAGTGCATGTATTAAAGCTGGGGTACCTATTTTTGCCTTAAAAAAAAGTAACATGTTGTGAACAATCAGACTCCCACATGTCTTCATCTCATTTGAAAACATGAACATATTTTTTGTATACTTGTAAGAACGAGTCGTGTGAGTCACTATTTGACTTCTTCTCTCGGGCTGAAGCTGATTGGCTGATAGGACTATGTTTTTCGTTTTTATCGCTGACTCAGCTGCTTGTGGCTGTGGTCGCAAGCAGAAGGCAGCGATCCCAGAACCCGGTGGTAAAGGATGCTGTCAGGCTGAAGAAGGAGTCGTACCGAGCCCTGATGCATCATGGGACTCCTGAGGTAGCTGCCCAGTACCTGCAGACTGACTATGGATAAAGCAGACTGAAAGGCTTGGACGGTGCCCCAGCTTTAATCGGTCGGATGCATTTGTCCACTTCAGCTTCAACTCTGACCTTTTGTAATCCGCTCATTTAAAGTCTATAATAGCTTTTAAATTGAACGGCCTATCATTGGAAACTGCCACTTTCTCACCAGATATAAATAATGAAATCATGGATGTTTTTGATGAGGCGACAAGATTAAAACATGAACAAAGGCTTAAAAAAAGTCACTTAAAATTCCTTCATTTAAACGTAGACTTGTGGCATGAATTAACTTTGGATTTGATTCTCAACGTGAGGACAGCGATCCACCAAGTACAATGTTCCACGGAGTTCTTTGGTCCTTCACCGGTGGTCAGACAGATCCATGGACAGTCCTCCACAGGGGTCCAGGCCCTGGGTCCACTACAGGCAGCTGGGCTCAACCACTGTCTACACCACAAGAGAAACTGTTCTCTAAAGTCCAACACAAGTTTTCTTGTATCTGTGTCCAAATGTGTATTCAGAACTTGCTTGGTCCTGAAAATGTTCTTTGGTCTGTGAAAGTGTTGGGAAATAACTGCAAAATATTAAGTTAAAACACTGCACAGTCTCTTAAAAGGTCAAAACTGTGGGAAGTCCTGAACCCGGTCTTGCAAGATCCATGGGTAGTCCTGAACCAGGTCTTCCAAGATCCATGGGCAGTCCTGTCTCAGTGCTCCAAGATCCTGAACCAGTGGAACGTCCTTCACCAATGATCCAAACCGTCTTGGACCAGAGCTAAGACTTTCCTCTTTCCCTGGACCGGTGCTGCGTCCTTCACCAGTGCTCCAGGGGCAGGTCCATGGCCACGCCTAAGCTCATGTCCGTCATGTCAAGAAACTCACTGGTGAAGACGCTGTGTGTGGAGGTGGGCGGGGCTAGGCTGTAGGCGTTGTTGGCGGAGGTGGGTGGGGTCAGGTCCAGCCACTCCATGCCGTCCCAGGGGCCCTCGCTGAAGGCCATGCTGAAGGCCACGCCCTGCAGAGAGTGAGAGCCATAGCCCTCCCCCTCAGATCCCCGGCCAATGGGAGCGCTCAGAGGACTTTCCAGAGAGCCGTCTGGCGCGTGATTGGGCGGATGGTCGTAGGGCAGGGGGGCGGGAGGGGCGTGGTCGTAGTGACGGTGAAACCTGGGCACCAGCAGACCCGGGCATCCTGTGGACAGAGCAGATACAGAGGTCAGAAGGGCTTTTGTCTGCCAGGGCAATTTTCTAAGGGTCATTATTATATATTGTCTCTACTAAAACAGTCAGAACCCAAAAACTAGTCCGCAACATCAGTGTAAAGTCTGTACGATGACTCAAAATAATCAAATCCAAACATGTATTGCGCTCTCAACACATTGATGACGACGTACCTCCATTCTCAATGAGCACATCCAGCAGTTCATCCATCTGCTGACTCCTGTTGAGCTGCTGCAGAGAAAACAGAGCTGTGAGACAGTCGCACCAGCAAAGGGCAGAAGAGAGCACAGAGACAGAGGACAGAGGACATAGGACAGAAGAGGTCCAAACTGGTCCAAAGTCAGTGCTCATGAGCCGGGCCGCAGCGCTCAGCTCCAAGCCCCATTTAGTCTGCAGTACCACAGCGCCCCCTGTGCCCGTGGGTGGGACAGCTGTAAGCTAGTAATACCCTATCCAGTTATTATTATAGATCCATGCTCAGCTCTGGCTTCAGGTGCCTTTGTTAGACCTGACCCTACACCAAGCTAATGGAGGGAAGTCACATGGTCCTTATGCCACATGGGGCACTATGCTAAAGAGAATCATACTTTTTAAAGAGTGGACAGTAGCAGCAGTGGTCAGTAGCAGCAGTGGTCAGTAGCAGCAGAGGTCAGTAGCAGCAGTGGTCAGTAGTAGCAGAGGTCAGTAGCAGCAGTGGTCAGTAGTAGCAGTGGTCAGTAGCAGCAGAGGTCAGTAGCAGCAGAGGTCAGTAGCAGCAGTGGTCAGTAGCAGCAGAGGTCAGTAGCACTAGTGGTCAGTAGCAGCAGTGGTCAGTAGCAGCAGAGGTCAGTAGCAGCAGAGGTCAGTAGCAGCAGTGGTCAGTAGCAGCAGTGGTCAGTAGCAGCAGAGGTCAGTAGCAGCAGTGGTCAGTAGTAGCAGAGGTCAGTAGCAGCAGTGGTCAGTAGTAGCAGAGGTCAGTAGTAGCAGAGGTCAGTAGCAGCAGAGGTCAGTAGTAGCAGAGGTCAGTAGCAGCAGAGGTCAGTAGCAGAAGAGGTCAGTAGTAGCAGAGGTCAGTAGCAGCAGTGGTCAGTAGCAGCAGAGGTCAGTAGTAGCAGAGGTCAGTAGCAGCAGAGGTCAGTAGTAGCAGAGGTCAGTAGTAGCAGAGGTCAGTAGTAGCAGAGGTCAGTAGCAGCAGAGGTCAGTAGTAGCAGAGGTCAGTAGTAGCAGAGGTCAGTAGCAGCAGTGGTCAGTAGTAGCAGAGGTCAGTAGTAGCAGAGGTCAGTAGCAGCAGTGGTCAGTAGTAGCAGAGGTCAGTAGCAGCAGTGGTCAGTAGCAGCAGTGGTCAGTAGCAGCAGAGGTCAGTAGCAGCAGTGGTCAGTAGTAGCAGAGGTCAGTAGCAGCAGTGGTCAGTAGTAGCAGAGGTCAGTAGCAGCAGAGGTCAGTAGTAGCAGAGGTCAGTAGTAGCAGAGGTCAGTAGCAGCAGAGGTCAGTAGCAGCAGTGGTCAGTAGCAGCAGTGGTCAGTAGTAGCAGAGGTCAGTAGCAGCAGTGGTCAGTAGTAGCAGAGGTCAGTAGCAGCAGTGGTCAGTAGTAGCAGAGGTCAGTAGCAGCAGAGGTCAGTAGTAGCAGAGGTCAGTAGTACCAGAGGTCAGTAGCAGCAGAGGTCAGTAGCAGCAGTGGTCAGTAGCAGCAGTGGTCAGTAGTAGCAGAGGTCAGTAGCAGCAGTGGTCAGTAGCAGCAGAGGTCAGTAGCAGCAGAGGTCAGTAGCAGCAGAGGTCAGTAGTAGCAGAGGTCAGTAGCAGCAGTGGTCAGTAGCAGCAGTGGTCAGTAGTAGCAGAGATCAGTAGCAGCAGTGGTCACCTTGGACATGTTCTCGCTCTTCACTGATCCTCCGTGGCTCATGGTGTCTGTGGGGTACAGTCTGTGGTCAGGGGGGTAACAGCCCATCTGCCCCCCGCTCTTCTGCTGCATCTGCAACAACAGGAGTGTAATGAGCTCGAGTGTCGTGTGCAAAGGTGTTTGTTGTTGTGACTGTAACTGTGCAAATCTAGTGCTTATCACCAGACTGTATATTTGTCCATATTAACTTTGTCTAGTAACTAATTACTTTTACCCCTCTTTAACGCAGTCACTAATCCAACTACATTTGGGGAGAAGTAATCAGTAACCAACCAAATACACAAACCAACACACTGAAGGTAATAAAGTTGTGTAACAAATGGTTATAACATGTATCACAGTCCTACTTTTTTAAATCGTCATGATGTGCATAGTTAAACATATTTGTGTTCAGCCTGATTATTTTCTTTTTCATTCTTCCTGTGATCTGTCATACAAATCCAAAGGCTGAAACTTAAGGATCATGCTCTTTTTGTGCTTTCATCTTCCATCGAGAGTCCAAATGCACCCGTTTGGACTATCATTAAAACTATCATTGAGTATAATGGTTAAACTTAGTTTAATATCGTCCTCAGTAGAAAATATGTGGCGACTGATGCATCAAAGATAAAAAATCCCTCCGTATGTATCTCCCAATTCTCCACCAAATAAAAAAGTGTTTAATTGAAATGATAATATTTTCTCCCCCTGACAGGTTTTTAGTTTTGTAAATGTGCCCTGGTCCGTTCACACACCTGCATGGGGCACATGCGCGGCGGCTGCAGCTGCGTGCACTCGTCCCGGCCCAGTGGAGGTGTGAGCAGGTAGGGGGCAGTGGGGGAGCGAGGGGGGGGCGGGGAGGCCTTTGGGGACGCCTGAGGACTGAGGAAAGCCCCTCCCTCCATCAGCTGTGTCTGCATCCCTCCGGGGCCCTGGGAGGACAGGGGGCAGCTGGAGGACAGGGGCTCCTGTTTGATGCTGACCCCCATGAAGTGCTGTCCCATCACCGTGGGGCTGTGCTGGGCCGGGCCTGGCCCAGGGTCCTGTGTGGAGCCGTAACAACGTTTCCTCTTGTGCAGCTGCATCTTCAGCTCCTCCACCTGAAACATACACGTCATTATCTAACGTCTGCATCATGACTGTCGCCCCCTGCAGGACACTGTCTGCTCTGGAGGGCAGCTTCAGTGACAGACTGATCCACCCTCACTGAATGAAGGAGATGTTCCACAAGTCTTTCATTCCAACAGTCAGACTATACAACGAGAATAAGGACACTGTCAACCGGACCTCACATGATGTGCATGTTTGTAATAATTTTAAATAATGTCAGAACATAGAACCATGTGTCACTGTCACTTTGTCCCAGACCCTCACGCTGCTCACATGTAAAGAGGTAAATATACAACTATATATTTATTGCAATAGAATGTACAGTATTTTATACCTATTCTTTATCGTGCTAAAGTTAGAGATTGTATCATATTTTAGTAAAGAGATATTGGGCCTCATTCACGAATAACTTCGTAAGAAACTACTCAACTTTCTTCTCAAGTTGTCCTTAAGTAGATTTCTAAGAAGTCCCCACGTGGGATTCATCAACGCACTCGTAAGCCGCTGAATTGTTCGCAGCTGTTCTCTCAGATTGATGAATCCCATTTCCTCGTAAGTAGAGCGCGCGTGCCCGGTGCTTCATTAGCATAGGTACTTAGCATAAGTAACCGCCCACTAATGCCCATATAAGGGACTGCAGGGCCGTGTGCAGACGGCCTAACAGGCCTAAAGCAAAGAGTTACACGGAACAAAAGAGTCACCCTTTTTTCTTCTTTTACCAGACTGAGAATAAAGTTATAAAATGTTGACTTAAAAGTCGAAATATTATGATAATAAAGTCGAACTAGCTTCGAACTAGATTAATCTAAGAATATGATGAGATTAATCTCAAAATGTTATGAGCTTAATTTAAAAATATATTATGTATTATTTTAAAGATGAATCTCAAAATGTTTTGAGATTAATCTCAAAATATTTTGGACCCTGGGAGGAGATCCAGCGCGGACCAGCGCTGAGACCAATGCAGACCCGAGGAGAGACTGGAGTGACCAGCACACAGAAACCAGCGCGGACCTATAGGAGAGACCGCATAGACTGTAGTGACCTGACTGGAGAGACCGGTGCGCAGAGACCAGCGCGGACCGAAGATAGACCGCATAGACCAGACTTGAGAGACCAGCGCGGACCCGTATGGATCCAGGAGCATGCAGCACGGACCCGTATGGAGAGAGACCAGTGCAGACCCGTATATGGGAGAGACCAGTGCAGACCCGTCTAGATCCATGGGAGAGACCAGTGCAGACCAGTATAGATCCATGGGAGAGACCAGTGCAGACCCGTATAGATCCATAGGAAAGACCAGCGCAGAGACTCAGCGCGGACCCAGTAACCTCCTGCAGCAGCAGTATATATGCCGTTGTTCTGTGGCCCGTGGATAAAGAAATGCCCCCTATAAATAGGAAGGGGTCACTAATACACGGCAAGATTTCCAATGTATTTGATAAAGCGTTGGCACATTTCATTTCAAAATGAATTAAAAAGTAGGCCAGATCTGCAGTGAAAAAGGCGGTATATAAATAAAGATTACTAATAAAGATTACTACAAATAAATAAATACATACATCGATATGACGGACATATCACTGGAATGTTGTATTTTTATTCAACTTCACCAAAGAGGACAACCCCGGCGTGTGAACATGTCGGCACTGAATGCGTACGAGTGCTCCTGAGGACTCGTAGGATTTGTACTTGCCCAAGAGAAATTCTGGTTACGAGAAATATTCGTGAATGCCACTTTCTTCGTAAAAACCGCGTAAGTAGGATTTACGTACAAATTTACGTACAAGAACCGTTCGTGAATGAGGCCCATTGTTTTTTTATCTTGTGCTGTGTGCTCCTCATCCTTACTGTTCTGTAACTGATGATGCAACACTGACATTTCCCCACTGTGGGACAAATAAAGAATCTCTTAATCCAGAAATGCACTTTGTGAATGTGTGTTCGCTTTTCTCTCTGAATTTATATTCAAAGTCCAAAGTACAAAGTCCGGTCCAGGTCTTTTCAGTTCCATGTAAGTCTGACCTGTCGTTGCTCCTGGTGCAGTTTCCAGGTGAGTTCGTCGATCACCTTCTGCTTCTCCACCAGCATCTTGTCTTTCTCCCGCTCCCCCTCCCCGTCCCCCAGCCCGGGACCCCCCAGCAGAGGGGACACACAGGGGGGCATGTCGCTGAAGCTGTCTGGCAGTGACCCGCTGAGGGACAGCTCCGAGGACGAGGCAGGGGACAGGGGCGGGCTGCCAGAGGACGTCCCAGGGTAAGTGTAGAAGGAGGAGGTCAGGGAGCTGCTGGGGGTGACAGGGAAGGTGCCCGTGGCGATTTCAGAGGGAGGGGAGGAGCCACAGCAGGGCTCAGTGAGGGGGCGGAGCCTCTCGATAAGAGACGTTTTGGTCCCAGAAACCGGCATGCCGCGTACGCGCAGGTGCTGCCTGAGCTCCGACACCTGCAGAGAGAGACAGTTTCAGCACGGAGTACGTTTACAAAGCACCAGTGAAAACCAGATAATTCCAGTTCATCATCAACTGAACAAGACCCATGTAAACCCCTTGTGCTGCGATGTACTGTAGGTGTGAAAAAGCAGGTCAGCAGATGCATCAAAGCTGCTATTGATGAGGCATTGTTGCACTGTTTCATGTGCAACAATGAAACAGTGCACAGTGTCACACTTTGTTATTATAAAACAAAGTGTGACATCACAAGAAACAAGGAGCCTTCAAGAGCTTTGTGGGAATTCAATGATTGTTGCTGGAGCCACTGGACATGACTGATGTTGGATTTCTCTGTCTGAAAAGTGTGACAGAAGCTTCTCTCGTACCTTCAGGTCGTCCAGGTTGCTGGGCAGGGGTCCGGGCAGAGCTCCGGTCATGGCCCCGGGCCTCACAGACAAGCTGCTCTGACTGAGGAAGGCGGTCTTCACAGGAGATGAGGAGGTGCTGTTGGCTGAGCTGGAGCTGCAGGAGAGCGCCTCACTGCTGCCTCTGTGCACCAGACACAAAGAAAAGGATGAGCTAAAACACTATTCCCACTTTAGTGACATTTTCTTGGTTTGACAAGAATAACACTGTATTTACAGTATTGCACTAAAGATTACACCTGTATCAGTTATTGGATAGAGTGAGACTATTCAATTTAAGGCCCAGAAACCTACTAAAAGTCATAGAATTTGGCCCATAGGCCATCATCCAGAATCCAAGTAATAAGGAAAGTGTCCTGGGTCTTCCCTAAGGTTTCCTCCAGGTGGGACATGCTTAGGACATGCTCCTCCCCAGGGAGGTCCGGGAGGACCCCCTTATATGGCAAACCTTCCATGTGGAGGGGCCAGCCTCTGTAGAGGGGTCTCACTTGTGTCCTCCGTCTTATCCTATGAGTCGTCCCCAAAGCTCCTGAGGCTGGGGAGGTAGACTGAGGACTAAACCACACACATACACACACAGACACACACACAGACACACACACGGACACACACGGACGCACACGGACGCACATGGACACTGGTTGATCAGATGGATTAGATGAATAATAACTCACTTGTGAGCTTGTGTTGGAGTGGTAGGCTGGTAGCTGAATGCGGGCTGGCGGGCTGGTCCCTGGGTACTGTGTGGGTGCTGTGGGTGCTGGGAGTGCTGGGAGTGCTGGGAGTGCTGGGGGTGTGGGGGGTGCTGGCTGGGCGGGCTGTTGGCGTGTTTCTGCTGGCTCAGGATCTGGAGCTGGAGGAAGAGCTGCTGCTGCTGGAGGAGGCGGGCGTAGGCCTGGTCCATGGGAGGAGGGGATCTCTCTGCACCCTTCTGGTCTGGAGGAATGTACTGGTGGTACTTCAGCTTCTTCATCTTGGGCTTCACGTCTTTGGGTTTCTTATGGCGGTTCTTGTCTGAAGACTTTGACTGTAAAGGAGAACAATGAAGGTGATTCTCATGATCATGCTCCCTTTGATAATAACCATGATGCAACAGTGTGTATCATTCAAGTACAGACCTGGAGTTGATTTAGCTCTATTCACACCAAAACAGTATTCACTACTTCTCACTATTGACATCACACTAGCATGAGCTAAATCACAAACAACAAAACACTGCTGCTTTGGAGTCTGCCTGAGTGACTGAAGATGTACGGCCTGGGACCAACGTTTCTTTGTTGCATGTTATTGTTGCGTCTTTGTTTTTACTGAATTGTATCAAGTCGTCCATTCGTCCTTTTTCATCCCTTTTATCTATTCTTTGGTAATCAGAGCTAAAAATGATAAGTTTATTCTTTAGATATGAATCCTATCAGGAGGCTTTGAAACATCCCCCTCTCGTCCAAGTGGTGTAAACACATGCCAGACCGTTTCTTTGGAAAGACTTTGCTTTTCAGAGGGAACAGACGCACAGACCGTAAAAGCCGCAAACGTTTCTCATCATGAGGTCCCCGCGTCATCCCCTCAGCTTCAAACAGCTGCTGATGTTATTCAACACACTTTCTACATATGATAATAGATATAGACAGATACTTTATCTTAATCCAGGAGTCCAGCAGCAGAAACACTTCCATCCATACAAACAAATAAACACTGTACAAAATTCAAAAATGTACTAATATTCCTATCCTTAAACACAAACACAGAAACATCCACTCTTCGTCTTTAAAGAACACACACAAGATACAAAATAATCTCTGTTTGCTGAGCTTAAAGCAGAGTTCTATCCATTTTCTTCTTCTTAATACAGAGTTAAAGCAGAGTTATTGCCAGATCTGGAATGAGGGCCTGAGGAGACCGCAACCGAGCGCAGGACGTAAAGGGTTAAAGGGTCAGACCTTGACAATGGCCGCCACAGGGAGGGGGGTCAGGCTGCTGTCCTCGGGGGTCTGCTCTGGGACGTCTCTGGCTCCTCTCTGAACACAAGCACCAGGGAAAAGGTTTTAATTCACCTTTATTCACCCAGAATCCTCCCGCCGTGTTGGACAGCATCAGCCACAGTGTGTAGGTGTTTATTTACAGTGTATCTATTTGTTTTATTTGTTTGTTTGACTGTGACAGTGCACATCAATGTGTCCGTGTCAATATGTCAGATTTAGTCCCATGGCAGTCCCATGTTTGACAAACAGAGCAACTGTTTTAAAAAGCCACAAACAAACATAAAAACATGAAAACAGGTTCAGTAAAAAGAAGTAAGAATTGAGGACATATGGACTGCCTTAAAAAGTTACAAGAAAAGTCTCCCTTGGGATGAGAAAATGAAGCTACAGTTCCTGAAATCAGACTAAATGGCTTTGTCCCATCGAAGAATCTGGTTTTCACACAGTTAGAATGTGTCAGATTAAGATAAAAACCACTCCATTCAAGCGATTTTTTTGCAGTGGGGACAAAACAAACATGAGACACGGACAAAAAGAATCCACAGAAATTCTCAGATTGTCGTCCTCTCTGTGACTGCAGCTTTGATTGTTCACGAGCCACAGTTTGAGAAACTTTGTGAAGGTTCACTGTACAGAGTTCAGAGTGTGCCACTAGGAGGCGCCACAGGCTCATGCACATGCTCCTGTCTTTGGAAAATATTTTATTCTGGAGATTTTCTGAACTATATTTACACTTAGTTAGTTTTGTAACTTGACAAAAATACAAATAATAATTCATGTTAAATAATACAGTATGTCAGTTACATAAACTATAATATTTTTACATTTTAAAATCATGTTTAAGCCAATGAAAGTATAAAGACCTGCAGGTGAAAGCCAGATCCTGTCAGACCACAGCCTGGTTGTCTTGCTTCTGTCAGTGTGCCCCAGGGCAGCTGTGGCTATAATAGTAGTTTATCACCACCGTGTACGGAAAGAAGAATGTGATGTGTCTTTGTGTATCAAAAAAAGTGCTAAAATTCCCCGCTGTGGGACGAATAAAGGATCTCTTAATCTAATCTTAATCTAAAACCAATGCATTGTTATTATTATTATTATTATTATTATTATTATTATTATTATTATTATTATTATTATTATTATTATTATCATTATCATTATTATTTAGTGTCCTTTCTGTCAACACACAATGGTCCTTAGTGGTGAAGGCCTCTCCAGTGTTAGCATTTTCATGTTATTTCACTTGGGACATTTCTAACACTTGTTGAGTTTCCAGGCCAAAGGGCCAAAGAGCCAGACCAGAGCCAGGCCAGAGCCAGAACCAGGACCAGGACCAGGACATCCATCTTAACCATCCGGGACTGTGCACCTGCCTGAGGACTCATAACCAATATCACATTGGGTTTGAAGTTTATTCTAACTTTCTCTTACTGTTTTTCCATGTTTCTAGTTTTCTCGTAGATAATTGTTCTTGTGAATTTGCGTAGTGCCTGCCTCTTCTGTCAGTATACTATACCAGATATTACTACTGGTCCCAGATAAAAGAGCTGTTTTCACTGGACACAACAGGACTGGATGAAGACAGGTGCAGTTACCTGGCAGGGACTGGTGATGGCGCTGGTGTGGCTGCCCCCCTCCGCGGTGCAGGCTGAGCTGTGGGACTCGGGCTCGCTGACCTGCTGCTCTGGAGACAGGCTGCCACTGCTGCTGTCCTCCTCGAAGGCGTACGAGTCCTCCTGCTTAGGAAACTTCCCATGGTTTACTGAAACACACACAGGAGGGGATCAAGGAACTGTGGAGGGAGAGCGTCGGCATTTGTAGTTAGTCTAGTTCAGTTTAGTTCAGTTTAGTTTAGTCTGTAATTGAAAGGGACAGAGCGCAATAACATTAGGTTTCCCAGTTACATGACAAAAAAATGAAATACCATAACATCAAATTACAATAGGCATGTACAATAGTTTATAATGAATGATCTACAGCCTCAGTCCTGGGTCTACAGTCTCAGTCCTGGATCTACAGCCTCAGTCCTGGATCTACAGTCTCAGTCCTGGATCTACAGCCTCAGTCCTGGGTCTACAGCCTCAGTCCTGGGTCTACAGCCTCAGTCCTGGATCTACAGCCTCAGTCCTGGATCTACAGTCTCAGTCCTGGATCTACAGCCTCAGTCCTGGATCTACAGCCTCAGTCCTGGATCTACAGCCTCAGTCCTGGATCTACAGCCTCAGTCCTGGATCTACAGCTACAGCCTCAGTCCTGGATCTACAGCCTCAGTCCTGGATCTACAGCTACAGCCTCAGTCCTGGATCTACATCTAGTCTCAGTCCTGGATCTACAGCCTCAGTCCTGGATCTACATCTAGTCTCAGTCCTGGATCTACAGTCTCAGTCCTGGATCTACAGCCTCAGACTATATAAATCTATTTTTATTTGTGATCTATATAAAAAAAATACAAACAATGTCAAATATGCGTTCTCTGCGTTCTATATCACTTCAGCTATATTTATAAGCTCCTATATTTGTCCGCTTCATTACGTCTTGACACCATCACCGACGCCTCGCAGCACTCAGGCCACTTCCTATCTACCTGCGTCCTGATTGGCTGCCCTGATGGCACTCTGGCCTGGGATTGGAGCAAAGGGACTATCAGTAAGTGCGAAAGAGGGACTTCGGTTTGAATCCCTCTCACGTGTCCAGCGTGGTGTGAATGAGCCAAAACATGACGCAGGAGAGAAGACGGACTTTGTGTGTGAGGTAATGGGCCTTTCACTGAAGAGGAGTGCACTTTTAATGACGGCTAGAATCGCTACGAGCACTTTGTCTTATCTGTGTGCGGCTGGAACCAGCAGAGGATTGTGTAAACTGTGCGGAATTTGTGCATGAGGTCAAAAAGAACGGATTGTGTTCAGACCGCGATCACGAGATTCAGGCGTCCAGCAGCGGAAACACATCCACCCAAACAAACAAGTAAATATATAATTCTAGAGGTTAGTAAGAATAGTATTAAAGTGCTACAACAGTTTAGGTCACAGCAGCAGAGGTGGTGAGCTGCTTCCTATCCTCTCGTTCAGAGTCAGGAAACAGGAACAATCTGCCTGAAAATGTGAGACAGGCCTCCTCTCTGACCATGTTTAAATCCAGGCTAAAAACAGCTCAGCTGTGCATACAACTGAGGGATTTTATATTTGTAGCTTTCTTTTGTAGCTCCCGGGCTACTAAGTCTTCTTGGTTCTCTGCTCTGGTTCAGAGTGAAAATCTGAATGCTATATTAGTATAAAAAAAAAAAAACAGGTGGAGCTGAAGTTGGCTGGATGACTGTGAAAGTGCCTCAATGGATGGTATTAGCAAGGCAGAGGGCCACATCAAATGAAACAGTGGGCCGCATTTGGCTCGTGGGCCTTGGTTTGGACATGCCTGTTATAGCTAGTCTCTGAGAACACACGTCCGCGGCCTGCAGTCCTGATCTGAACCTTTTCGGGCAAAGCCTCTGGTGCTCTCTTCCCTCGTGGCTCAGAGCTGGAGGATGATGCTTCTTAATCCATCCTCGCCTCCAGAGATAGAACAACAACAAGAGCAGGTGTCGGTAAAGAACTGCTTCCAGGTTTCTTCTTCTGCCTAATCCAGCGCAGACACAAGACCTCGGCCGACCCCCTCCTCACAGAGATAAGAAACCTTGATTTTCACACTTATGGGAAGGATGGAGTGTGAGGGAAGCTCGGCCTGCTCTCTTCAGATCCATGTCTCTGATGGATCATGACTCCGATCACACAGAACATCAATTATTTTTCACATTTTGAGGTGAAAGAATACGTCTTTGGATACAAGCAGCAGTGAGACCTGTTAATGCTCATCCTCAAAGCTCCCTGATTGGACAAAATATATAAAAATCCTCCCCATTGCTTATTTTATCGCCTGGTTTGCCAAGAGGAGAGACTATTGTCAATATTTATAATGTTTTTGGCAAAAAACACAAGAGGAGTGAGTGCATACAGGGATCAAAATATATACAGATTACAAGAAGTCTGGGTTGTACTTTTGATTTTAGATTTTTTCTTTTTGCTGGTCTGGTTTTACACTGATCCAGACCAGAGCAGAGAGTATAAAATGCACAGTCTGAACCAAGCGTAAACCCACTGGAGGAATGCTAATCTTTTTTTTGAAAAAAGATAATACAGCCTTCAGAACTTCACTCTGAACCAGAGCAGAAAAAATGGTCCGAACCAAGCAGACGCTGCATAAATCAGCCAGAGGAAGCAGAGCCATCACCTGCGGCTTCACCACCTGCTGCTGTGACCGGCTGCACTGTATTACTGTTGTTACTAACTTAGGATGATTCTTTTGTTTGTTTGGATGGGTTTCTGCTGCTGGACACCGGCATTTCTGCCACTGGGGATCACTGGGTCTCTCATATCTCTCTGTCTATCTATCCCTCTCTTTCTCTCTGTGTCTGTCTGTCTCTCTCTCTGTTTGTCTGTGTGTCTCTCTCTGTCTCTGTCTGTCTCTCTCTCTCTGTGTCTGTCTCTCTCTGTCTGTCTCTCTTATCTCTCTGTCTGTCTGTCTCTCTCTGTCTCTGTCTGTCTCTCTTATCTCTCTGTCTGTCTGTCTATCTCTGTCTATGTCTGTCTGTCGTTCTCTGCCTGCCTGTCTGTCTCTCTCTCTGTGTCTGTTTCTTTGTCCGTTTGTGTGTTTCTCTTTGTCTGTCTGTCTGTCTCTCTCTCTCTACCTCTCTGTGTCTGTCTGTCTCTCTCTCTCTGTCTCTGTTCGTCTGTCTGTCTGTCTGTCTGTCTGTATTTTTCTACTGATCTTTCCCAGTGTGTAGTAAACAGTGATCAGGCCCAGAGCACATGTACAGAGTTCAGAGAGGGTGTAGAAGACGAATGTCGTGTGACGTCACAGTCGGAGGCCGTCGGTTTGTGCGGAGTCACAGACGCTCGCTTGGACCCAAGATTTTGAAGGAACCGCGGAATTTATGAGCAGGATGTAAACACAGCGGATAGCAACTCACAAGAGCTGCGTGTGTACCGCAACTGCACGGGCCTTCTGCATTTGTGTGTGTTTGCGTGTGCTTGTGTGCGCAGACAGATGATAACAACTTCCAAGAGCAACAGCGTGTGTGTGTGTGTGTGTGTGCGTCTCCTTTTGCACATGTAAACACACACATTTCCTCACTGCACTCAGAGTCTCTGTTTATCCACACAAATACACACACACACACATGCATAGTCACACTCCTACACACACTTATACACATGCGCAAACTCACATGATGGGCCTATAAAGGTAAGTGCCATGATCCTTGATGGAAGCATGGCTGTGTTTGTGCATGTTAGTATGTGTGTTAGTATGTGTATGTGCATGTTAGTGTGTATGTTAGTATGTGTATGTGCATGTTAGTGTGTGTGTGTATGTGCATGTTAGTGTGTGTGTTAGTATGTGTATGTGCATGTTAGTGTGTGTGTTAGTATGTGTATGTGCATGTTAGTGTGTATGTTAGCATGTGTATGTGCATGTTAGTGTGTGTGTATGTGTATGTGCATGTTAGTGTGTGTGTTAGTATGTGTATGTGCATGTTAGTGTGTGTGTGTATGTGTATGTGCATGTTAGTGTGTGTGTTAGTATGTGTATGTGCATGTTAGTGTGTGTGTTAGTATGTGTATGTGCATGTTAGTGTGTGTGTTAGTATGTGTATGTGCATGTTAGTGTGTATGTTAGCATGTGTATGTGCATGTTAGTGTGTGTGTTAGTATGTGTATGTGCATGTTAGTGTGTGTGTTAGTATGTGTATGTGCATGTTAGTGTGTGTGTTAGTATGTGTATGTGCATGTTAGTGTGTGTGTGTATGTGTATGTGCATGTTAGTGTGTGTGTTAGTATGTGTATGTGCATGTTAGTGTGTGTGTTAGTATGTGTATGTGCATGTTAGTGTGTGTGTTAGTATGTGTATGTGCATGTTAGTGTGTGTGTTAGTATGTGTATGTGCATGTTAGTGTGTATGTTAGCATGTGTATGTGCATGTTAGTGTGTGTGTGTATGTGTATGTGCATGTTAGTGTGTGTGTTAGTATGTGTATGTGCATGTTAGTCAATCAATCAATCAATCAACGTTTATTTGTATAGCGCCTTTCCTACACAAGGCAACGCAAAGCGCTTCACATCCCCTATCACATCATGCATAAATCAAACACATTAAGAGCACAAGATATATTAAAAACATTAAAAATAAAATCACAAAAATTAAAAACCTTTAAACATTAAAATCACAGATGGGACTAAAATCATAAATAGTCACAGTGCATTAAAAAGATTAAAGATAAAAACAAAGATGAAAAGATAAAATCATTCAGTTGTATATGCGCAGCTAAACAGAATTGTTTTGAGCCTAGATTTAAAAGATGCCAGAGTAGACGCCTGTCTCACATTCTCAGGAAGACGGTTCCAGACTCTAGCCGCATGAATCTGAAATGCAGTTTGCCAGAGGTGGGACAAAGTCATTGTTTAGCAAGTCACAAGTCAGTCTCAATTCATTGCCCTCAAGTCCCGAGTCAAGTCACGAGTCAAGACAGGCAAGTCCCGAGTCGAGTCCAAGTCAAAGGCCAACAAATCTCAAGTCAGTCCCAAGTCCTACGGTTTGACTTTCGAGTCCTCTCGAGTCTTTTTGACCGCGATTTGTTTCTTGTTGGTCTCCACGTACTTTTGTAGGCAAACAAAATAATGTTAGGAATCATTTTGCTGGTGCATTCTCGTTGGTCTCTGACCCATGGACTAAC